CCTGAACTACCCTTGGCTCCACTACTGAAGCTGAGGCAGGAGCCAACTGCTTCAGCCCCTTCTCCTCTCCCTGCCTCCAATCTCTCTAGAGTTGATCTGGTCGTTCACTCCCTGAAGGACCTGCCCACCGTGCTGCCTCCTGCCTTCACCATTGGAGCCATCTGCAAGTAAGAGTCCTGGAAGCAAGGGGCCTGAGCAGGGGGTAGACCTCACAGGAGACTTTGCTTTTCCCTCTGGGACTTGGTCCTCTGCTTTGAGTGTGGCAGAAAACTCAGAATATGCCAGTTAGTTAGCTACTGAGAGAATGGAAATGACTCAAATTGAAATTTCTCCTTCATTCCATGACCTTCCTTCCTCCTCCAGGCGGGAAAACCCCTGTGATGCTGTTGTCTTTCACCCAAAATTTGTTGGGAAGACCCTAGAAACCTTGCCAGAAAAGAGGTGAGTGGGGCCTGGATGGTCATCCTGGTGGGAGGAGCAGGAAAGGAACAGTGGCTGCCTAGTGTTAAATTTTAAATCCTCTTTCTGAGCAGCACTGTGGGAACCAGCTCCCTGCGGAGAGCAGCTCAGCTGCAGAGAAAGTTTCCACATCTGGAGTTCAAGAGTATTGTATCCTTTAGAAGGAGGGGTCAAGATTCTTGATACTTGAGGAAGAAGATAAGACCTAGATGACCCTGGAAGTCCTGAGAGTGGAAGGGGCTTCTGGTGCAGGTGGCCCATAGGGGCAGCAGGCTGACTCTTTCCATCCACCCATTCACCCATCCTTCCATGTATCCATCCATCCATCTGCAATCCTTTAATGTTTTCTTAGCCCAATGTAGATGCCTCACATTGGGGATAATGATGAATAATATAAACTTTGTCCTTACTTATGTAGGATGAAAAGTTTATGTTTTAGTTAGGTCTATAGATAGGCATTGATGATACAAAGGGATAGTGAATAGTGATTGTTTCTGGGGGCATAGAGGTGCTTCCATTTTTACTTTATATATGCTACTATATTATTTTGATTTTTTTTTTTTTTACTATGCAGTGGGCTTTGTTTGTTTGTTTTGTATTAGAGATTGAACCCAGGGGTACTTAAGTACTTACCCACTGAGCAACATCCCCAGCCCTTTTTTTGGGGGGTACCAGGGATTGAATTCAGGGACACTCAACCATTGAGCCACATCCCCAGCCTTATTTTGTATTATACTTAGATACAGGGTCTCACTGAGTTGCTTAGCAACTCGCTTTTACTGAGGCCAGCTTTGAATTCGAGATCCTGCTGCCTCAGCCTCCCCAGCCTCTGGGATTACAGGAGTGCGCGACTGTACCCAACATTCTCAGCTCTTTTTATTTTTTGAGACATGGTCTCACTAAGTTACTAAGACTGTCCTCAATCTTGGAATCCTCTTCTCTCAGCCTCCCAATTTGTTGGGATTACAGGTGTGCACCACCATGCCTGGTGAATATATAGTTTTATTTTATTTTATTTTATTTTATTTTTAGAGAGAGAGAGAGTGAGAGAGAGAGAGAGATAATTTTTTAATATTTATTTTTATTTTAGTTTTCGGCAGACACAACATCTTTGTTGGTATGTGGTGCTGAGGATCGAACCCGGGCCGCACGCATGCCAGGCGAGTGCGCTACCACTTGAGCCACATCCCCAGCCGCGAATATATAGTTTTATAAAACTAATTTTAAAAATGGTATATGCTAAGTGCTTAATGGGTAAAAATGGGGATTCTCTGGAAGCATCTACCTGGAACATCTAAACAGAGACTTAGGGATCATGGAAGGTTTCTCTGGAGTCTTGTAACCTTGGGCAAGTTATTTAACCTTTCTGTATCATTGTCCTCATCTGTATAGTACTGCACATCTACTGCACAGGGCTGGCATGAAAATGAAATGAGCTGATATGGGAAAGCACTTTAGAACAGCATGGTGTTGTAAATGGTAGCTGTTGTCATGAAGCTGAGAGCTAAAAGATGGGTAGATGGAGAAGAAAAGAAATCCAAATAGCATGTGGCTTCTGTTAGTCCTTAGCATCTCTCCGCAGCGGGGAAACCTCAACACCCGGCTTCGGAAGCTGGATGAGCAGCATGAATTCAGTGCCATCATCCTGGCTGTGGCTGGCCTGCAGCGCATGGGCTGGCAGAACCGGGTGGGCCAGGTAGGGGCTTCCAATTTCTCCTCCCTGAGTTCATCTGTTTCTCCTTCCTTCCTGTACCATCTCCTCCTCTTCCTCCTCCTCCTCCTTTTTTTTTTTTTTTTTTGTACTAGAGATTTAACCCAGGGCACTTTACAACTGAGCTACATTCTCTTCTCGGCCCTGTTTATTTGTTTTTTTATTTATATTTATTTATTTACCTATTTATTTATTTTGAGACCGGATATCACTGAGTTTCTTAGGGCCTCACTAAGTTGCTGAGGCTGGCCTTGAACTTGCACTCCTCCTGTCTCAGCCTCCTGGGCTGCTGGGATTACAGGTGTGTACTGCACTGCCATGCCTGGCTGTACCACCTCCTCCTCCTTTTTTTTTTTTTTTTCTTTGTCACTGTAGATGGGCAATATGCCTTTATTTGTTTCATTTTATATGGTGCTAAGGATTGAACCCAGTTGCTCATAAATGCTAGGTGAGTGCTCTGCCACTGAGCTACAGCCTCAGCCCCACCTGACCTCTAATGCTGCAAATAGATTCCCAGGATGGGGAGATTGGAAAACAAAGTCCAGACTCCTGCTTGTGCCTCCTCAGGCTTTCTAGATGTTAATCGAAGTACATCTCATTGCTGGATGCTTTTGGGCACCCCTGACCTCTCCTCACCCTTCTACCTGTTCTACTTCCACAGATCCTACATCCAGAGGAATGCATGTATGCTGTAGGCCAGGTAAGCTTGAGAAGCCACTTGTTAATTTGCTCCCTTCCCTTTGTTCTCAACAAGGAATCTGGTCTCTCAACCTACAATATCTGCATTCCTCAAAATAAAATTCTCAGGGAGGGGGCCTTGGGATGCTACTGGCCCCAAAGACCCTAGGGAACAGGCAGAAGGGTGGTTCCCATCCTTAGCTGCATTACTTGAGCGAAGATCAAGCTTGATGTGTTTTCATCAGGGGGCCCTGGCTGTGGAAGTCCGAGCCAAGGACCAGGACATCTTGGATCTAGTGGGTGTATTACATGATCCTGAGACTCTGCTTCGCTGCATCGCTGAAAGGGCTTTTCTGAGGCACCTGGTAGGACCTGTGCTTGCCCTGGAGGAGGGGGGTGGGCAGCCAGGATGTGCTATGTAGTGATCACTCATTCTTGTTGAATGTTATGAATGTGGAGGATGCAGGTCTTGACCCAGCAGCCTTTTCAGTTATGTCCTTTGTATCTCTGAGGGCTGTGGTCAAAGCATAGGAACTTTTCATTGCAGGAAGGAGGCTGCAGTGTGCCAGTAGCAGTGCATACAGTGATAAAAGATGGGCAAGTAAGTAGGGGAAAATGGGTGGGAAGACAGGGAAGGACTACGGCATTTCTCCCTATGCAGCCTAGGTTTCTAAGCAGTTCCCTCTCAGAATATGCTGAAGCAACCATTTTCTTTCCCAGCTGTACTTGACTGGAGGAGTCTGGAGTCTAGATGGCTCAGAAAGCATGCAAGAGACAATGCAGGCTACCATCCATGTCCCCACTCAGGTACCAAGAATGGAGGGTGAGGAGGGAGTAATAAATAATAGTGCATGTAATCTTGTCATTCTCACCAAATCTCACCTCCTTCCTTCATCCAGTATGACAATGGCCCAGAGGATGATCCACAACTGGTAGGCATCACTGCCCTGAACATTCCGAGAGGAGCCCAGCTGGCTGCTGAGAACTTGGGCATCAGCCTGGCCAGCTTGTTGCTGAACAAAGGAGCCAAGAACATCCTAGATGTTGCACGGCAGGTTAATGATGTCCACTAAATGGCCTGTGGGGTTCAAGTGCTTGAATTGCCACTTTCCAGTGCCTATGTCTAGCCTTCAGGACCCCTGTGATCAATGGGGAGTGATTACCCCAGACTGAACTGCAGGGTCTGAGACTTCCAAGGACTTGCCTCACCTTGGGGCATTGATGACTGCCTTGCCTTCTTTAAATGGGGCGCCATCTCTTTTTAGACATCCAAGCCAGTCTTTGAATGTAACCAACTCTACTAATAAACCAGCTCTGAAAATTGGTTGTCTGGGGAAAAGAGATAAAGCCCCTCCACCACCAATACCCCCCCCCCTTTTTTTTAACTAGGAATGGAACCCAGAGGCACTTTACCACTGAGCTATATCCCTAGCCCTTTTTGAGACAGGGTCTCACTAAACTTAGTGCCTTGCTAAATTAAATTGCTGAGGATGGTCTCAAACTTGTGATCCTCCTGTGTCAGCCCCCCGAGTTGTTGGGATTATGGGCATTAGTCACCATGCCTGGCAAAACTCTTAAACCTTACTTGAGTCTAAGACCTTTGAAGCTCAATGTTCTGGAACTTTTTTTGTGTGTGTGGGGGGGGCGGTGGGTTGAGCTACATCCCCAACCCTATTTTTATTTTTTTAAGACAGGGTCTCACTGAGTTGCTTAGCACCTTCCTTTTGCTGAGGCCAGCTTTGAACTTGGGATCCTCCAGTCTCAGCCTCTGGAGCTGCTGGCGCTGCTGGAATTAGTTATGGCAAGGCTCCCAGCTCTTCAATGTTTATACCTTGACAGTGATTTCAAACAAGTCCATTGTCTCACAGGGAGCTCCAAGAAAGCAAGAGAATTGCTTTAAAATCTATGGCTTAGAGCCTAGAGTGTAGTTCAATGGTAGAGCACTTGCACAGCAGAGGCCTCTGGCACTGCCAAAAAAAGAAAACAACCCCAGATCCTAGTTTGTCCCTTTTCCAGTTAACAGTACAGCATATTTAATATTAGTCTCTTCCACCCCACTACTTCAGGAAAGAAAGCATACATGTTATTAACCCTACAACTCTTGTAAAATGAAAAGACACTTCTTTTTTTTTTTTTTTTAAAGAATCCTTTAATAAACAAAATTAGACCATCTGAAACTCCCCAATACTTAAGGTTCTAGTCGTGGATGGGTTAGCTGCAAAATTCCAGTTCAGAAGCCAAGAGAGGCTCAGTCCACAGATTAACTGACATGTGCTGGTATCTAGGTGCTTGGATTGCCGAGTTTAGTGGCTGGAAGGGAAATGGGGTTGATAAGCCCGACAGGCCCAGTTTTCAGTCTCTTTCGCACAAACAACTCTATTGCTATCCACACAACCAGCTCTATGTCCAAACTGGAGCAAACTTCTTCCTAGGAGTCATCTCAGGAGGAAAGATTTGTCCTGGCCACACCACGTAGGCCTATGAATGAAGACGGAGATGACTGAAAATCCTGGGACTTGGCATAAAGGGGGCACCAAACCAAAACAAGTGATCGATTTCTCTCAAARCTTGGAAATCAACAGTCAACGTCTGAAAGTCCTGGCAAGAGCTAAGCACCACGCTGAAGAAATGATACATCCAGGCTGCAGCAACTGAGGAACTCACCTTGAGGGCTGCCGGCTTCTTGGCCTTGGCTGCCCACCTCTGCCCTACGTCAACGCGGAAAGCAAGTCTTCCAGAAGGTGCTGTGGCCTGACCGCAGCCCACCAGCCATTCTGAGGATGGGGGGCGGCTGAGTCACCCTCACCAAGGAGGGCAGGTGCTGCGCCCCCAGCCCAGTCCCGCGGCCCAAGGGCCCGGAACGAGCCCGAGAAGGACGCCAGCCCACCCCTCCTCCCGGTAGCCAGGACAAGGACCAAGGCCCTTTAGCGCCGCGGCAGGCCGTGCGGGCGAGGGGGAGGGGAGGGTGGGAGGCGGCGGGGACGCGAGGGGAGGGGGCCGGGCGCTGGGGTTCGCACGCCTAGCGGCCCAACGTGGCTCAGCTCTTTCCGTGAGGGCGGTGGTGGCCCTTAAAAGGGCCTTTGTGATAGCATAGGGAGGGCTGGGCAGCCGCCCGCAGCGCGGGCACCCCTCAGTATTCCTGAGAGGCCTGGGTGGCCTTCTTGCCGCCCGCCGGCGCCTTCGGCCCCACGGTGGCGCTGGTCTTCTTGGGCAGCAGCACGGCCTGGATGTTGGGCAGGACGCCCCCTTGAGCGATCGTCACGCCGCCCAGAAGCTTGTTGAGCTCCTCGTCGTTGCGGATGGCCAGCTGCAGGTGGCGGGGGATGATACGCGTCTTCTTGTTGTCGCGGGCCGCGTTGCCCGCCAGCTCCAGAATCTCAGCGGTGAGGTACTCGAGCACCGCCGCCAGGTAAACCGGCGCGCCGGCGCCCACTCGCTCGGCGTAATGGCCCTTCCTCAGCAGCCGATGTACTCGGCCCACAGGGAACTGGAGACCCGCGCGGGAAGAGCGCGACTTGGCTTTAGCGCGGGCCTTGCCGCCAGTCTTGCCGCGGCCGGACATAATGCGCGAGGTAGAACAGTGAAGAACAGCGTCTCAGAAGACCTCTCAACTGCCGCCCGCCGCAGTCCAACTGCTGCCGCGCGCGCCGCAGGGCCGCCCTTATAAGCCCCTAGGGCACACCCCCGCGCCCTTTCGATTGGTTCTTTTCTCCAATACGCGCCTCCGGTTGGTTGCGATTAACCCTTCCGTGACGTGCCTCAGCTGGGAAAGCGCGCCCGGCGATTGGTCGAATTTGAAAACCTTTTGCCCGGGGAAAATGACGAGGAAGAGTGATAGCACACAGCCGGCCTGCCACCTCCGGCTGTGGCCAATCCATGTAAAGCGCGGGAGATTTAAACCCTATAGCCAGAGACCAAAACCGGAAGCCAAAAAGGGTAGCACCTGAATCAGTGCTGGATAGCCCCTGGGAAATCCGTGCTGGCCTATGATTTTTATTTTATTTTATTTGTAAATATTTATTTTTTAGTTTTTGGCAGACACAACATCTTTGTTTGTATGTGGTGCTGAGGATCCAACCCGGGCTGCACGAATGCCAGGCTACGCTACGACTTGAGCCACATCCCCAGGCCCTGGCCTGATTTTTAAAGGAAAGGCGTCAACTCTACAACTATCCCTGCCTCCCTTCCAGTTCTGTTCACTCCTCACTCCCTCCTCTTATCTGGCAAAGGGAGTGTAAAAAAGAAATAAGGCCTCTTGAAAGTTCCATCCTATGCCAGAACACAAATCCTCCATCTCACCTGAAGTGTGTTTCAATATTTATTCAACATGTTCTGTTTGGGCTCAGTTCTGTTTACTGCTTGCTAGAAAGTGTCAGAGATAAAGCATTCTCTTGGAAGAGGACCTCCAAACTCTCCCAATCTCTCCTAGTCTGCTGATAGAGGAAATATACTACAAGGAACAACAAGAAAAAAATCAACTCTTTATTGTCACCAGTGAGAGCATCTGCCCCCACCTTACTAATCAGAACACTTAATTTAAAGTATCAATGTCTGTGTAGTGGCCCTTCCTTAGCAGCCAATATAGTCAGCTAGGGAACTGGAGACCGACTGGTATTCTATCTGGAAGCCCAGCATATTCCTTGAGTCAGGACTCTGAATGTTAAATTATAAGTATCTGCATTATAGTTGCTGCATCCCACCTTAGGAGGCTGCAAAGATCAGATGGAAAGGGAAAGTGGCAAGATGAAGAAAACCATAGCCAAAGTMGAATTAATATCATTGGAGGGCTAGAAAGGCCCAGAAAGTCGATAATAACTGGTGAAGGAAAACGCAACAACAAAATCTAGAGTATAGTGAACAGTGGCAGAGGCCTGGGCCTGGAGGCAGTCTWGGACACAAGATTGGCCCAGGTTAGGACCCTGGAGACCGTGCCATAGTAAAGGGCAATCTTCAGGGAACTCAAACATCATAGAAGAGTCGGACAAGCTGGTATCGAATGGAGAAAGTGATAGCACTGCCCAGGATCTGCAAGGAGAAATGGACTGGAATAAGAACCACGGAGAACAGGAGACAAAGAGGTATAAACTCCACCCTCAATCTCACCTGCAGCAGTAGCAGGAGCAATGTGAGGTTTCTCTCATGTATGGGCCCAAAGATTTTAAGTAGCAAGTTGATGAGAGTCATGTTGTTACACTCAGTAAAGGCACCATCCTCATTCTCACTCTGGCGCACTGTGACTAGCCTGAGGCTTTCTGCTACCTGGAGGGACCAGAGGTGAAGAGAAGTTCAGCTAATACCTACGTTTCAGGAATGGGGATCTACTTAATACTGCCAGCCTCCCCTTAGATCTGATGTAGACTTAGGATCCCCATTTCCTGAGTTCAGAATGGTGGCCTGGGGCCTTACCTCCTTGTTACCTTGTTACCTTTAAAATAAAGGTGCCCAAGAAAGAAAGGCTCTTGGTCTTGAACTTGGAATAGCTCATCTCCAGTTTGCCTGTTTTGGTATTGAGTCTGCAGGGGGGAAGACAGATTCATGTGATGGGCCCTCTAGTCAAAGACCTTTCTCCTCCCTGTAGTTAATTACTAGGAAAAGCACTGAATGTGGAATCAAACAACTTGAGATCTATTTCTGGCTCTGCTGTATGATCAGAACTGCAATGAACTTTACATGAAATGATGTAAGTAAATATGCTTTGTAAATTATAAATGGCTACCTACAAGGGAAGAGTTAGTTCTTCCTTGGAGCCTACAAAGCAAATATATAGGCTGGCTTTAGATATCCCAAGTGAAAGGCTATGATGCCCCAAAGTGGCTACCTGGGTATACGGTGACGAGGGCAGGGGATGATATGCAGGAGCTGAGGCAGTGAATAGAGGAAGTTGAACACCTGTGGCATGAAGAAGAGTAGCATGGTCTTGCTGAAGTGTCCCAAGATGCCCACCACGGCAAAGGTCATGCCAGCAAAGTAGCAGAAGGTATCTCCCACAAATACTCTCGATGGATACCTGTGTAGGAAAGAACATCTGAACCAGTGGCAAGAGACATTACCAATACTCTCTCCCACATCACACACTCTCAGCAGTGAGCTCACCCTGACCCTAGTTTTGAGAGGAGGCTATAGTTGTCACAGCCACTCTGCAGGACCCAAGGMCCTGAATTCATCTATTCCTGGGGGCTCCATAGCATACATCCCCAACTTTTACTCAGCAGAGAATAATTTCAGAATACTATCAGGCTGTGTAGCTCAGTAGTAGAGTACTTGACTGGCATGTGTCAAAGCCACGACTTTTCTAGCAACACGGGGAAAAGTGACAGAATGCTACTATCTGAAGACCCAGAAAACAGTCAATGAAGGTATGCATAGATTTAGCCTCTCCATTAAGAGCTAGGTTGTTATCAGGACCATCTTTGCCAGGTGTTCAGATAGTTGTCTTCCTTATCCACCAGGCTACTTACCAGTTATGATAGAATAATCCCAAGGTGGTGAAAAAAAAGGGTATCATGAAGTAGAGGGAAAATACATGATCATCTCGATAATCACCTTTGGAAGCAAGGAAAAAGGAAAAGTGAATACCCATACTTTTCTGTGTGCCCTCATCCTATTTTTGTTTGTATTCCCAGCTATATCATCCAGCTCACCCAAGTCACTTTTAAGAATCTATTACCCCCTTTTAGGTCACCAGGCAATTTAAAGTGTTCTACCATTTTATGGAAGCAATCAAAAACTGGTTAATGTCTTAAATTTGGTTTAGTCATTCTGACTTCAGTTTGAATACCAGCTTTACTTCCTAGCTATGTGATCTTCCATGTCACATAAGTGACTTTCCTCATCTGTAAGATAGGACAAATGATAACACCTGTTACAGAATGGTTTCAAGATTTAAATAACATGTTTTAAAAGTATTTAACATTAATAAGTACTTGTTGATATCCATCTGTCAAAGACTACCAGAAACACATTGATAGTCAAAGTTGGGTTTACTAACATAAAAAGGGTGATTATAGAGACTACACACCATATGTTTCATTCTGGTGGGGTATTAGGAGAGGCTTTTTATAGGATTCATTTTAGATAATTCTGGGGAGGTAGAAGGAAATAAGAATTGTGCTAATTCTATGATTAAGCATCTTAATATATATTAATATATAATTAGTATATACAATTATATACACCATATTTTATATATAKAGAGATATATATATTTTTTAAACCTAAAAAGCAGGAGGAACCATTGTTATTGGAAAGAAGCCAGGGTCTCTCATGCTAAGAGGGATTCTTGGTCATTTTTGTGGGTATCTCATGGTTTGTCTGTGCTCAGACATGATTGTGAGGGAAGAGTCTGGTTTTTGCTGTGTTCCATCATGGTCAGAGAGTGATTTTGATGCTGGGGTCTGTGAAACTGTTTCTGTACAATAGAAGATACAGCCTTGCTATTTGTGCCACTCCAGCTATAAATGACAGAGCTATTTTTCTTTCTCAAATTTGATAACTCTCTATTGTTATTTGCAAAGTAAATAGTCTCCATTATCTTTTATAATTACTCACACATTGTTTCTTTTTTTCCTCCTGAATTCCCTAAAGCCATAAATAAGACAACTTCCTTAATACTCAAGACTTCTCTTTCTCCCTATCCCAATCCCACCTACCTTCCAGCTCCACCAGGTTGAAGACAATGATGGAAGCAGAGATAACTAGAGACTGGCCAGCTTCTAGGCCATTAATCCCTGCTAGGATATTGATGGCATTGGTACAGAACACTGCCAGCAGCCCCATGTAGACATAGTAAAGGATCCCTGGGGGGAGACATAGTATGAAAAGAAGTTAATACCACCTAGGGAGGGAAGATTTAAGGATATTCTTTTGAGAAAAGTAATGAAAACACATCATAGGATAAAGAGTCACCAAAAAGGATCTGAGTAAACAGGGGAAGAACAGGAACACTTAGAGGAGAATGTGGAGCACTAGGAAGTGTGCTGTGCTGGATATCTCACAGCGGTGAAGGGTATAAAGTAGATGCCACAGGTGCAGTATTGATAGTGCTACTCACCTAAGTCCAGATGCAGGCCAAGAATTGGTCGGAAGGGCTTGGGTACCACAATGGTTGTGTTGCCAAAGTTGGTAAAATAGACCATGAGGAGAGGTAGTGAGGCAGCTGTGGGCAGCAGTAGCTTATGGCGCCAGCGCAGATTGAGTACATCATCAGCAAAGCCCAAAAAAATCATGCAGCAGATGGCAAGAAGGGCACCTATCAGGGCCACAAACTGGGGGAGGCTCAGAAATGTTATAATGCAACACTACCCGCCCTCCTAACAAGAAGTCCCGTCTTTTCGTTCGTTCCTCAGCCCTCTTACCCCAGTCCAAATAACCCCAACTCTTTCACCTCCCAGGCTCCAGCCAGTGACTCCCATTAACTCACTTACTTCATGATGGGGGAATGCCTTACATTGCTCCTCCACAAAGCAATTCAGGAAAGGAAAAGGGATGAAGCAGAAGAGGATGATAAGGAAAACTGCACCACTGATCACTCCCTGGGATTCTGGGCTGTGGTCCAGCAGCAAGGGTTCAGTGAAGGGGGGAGGGTAGAGAAGAAAGGGGGCGTGGTCACTTACTAGTGC